TGCAACATGACCTCTTTCGACCAACATCGTGACCTGGGGGTGCTGACCTGACCTTGACCTGAGGTCAAAACCCTAAGTTGACCTGACCCGAATAAAAAGTATATCATTCGACGCGCCTGAGCGAGGCAAACACGATGCTGCCAAAATCGCGGCTCTGCGGCCATTTCTTGCGAAGTTATTCACCAAAAACTGAACCGGACCTTGGGACACTTGACCTGACCTCAGAGGTCACCGGTTGACCTAGGACCTTAAAATCGGGTACCAATCTCTGCGTCTCGTAACGGCGCACACGCTCGTTTTTTCCGCGACGCGCTAGATAGGTCCGGCAAGGGTTAGATATATGACCTTGAAATTTGCTTAACTCTGTTCTTAAGCACAAAAGTTGAAGTAGCAAAAAAAACACGCCACCTTCGATTTGGCTCATTTTCATATATTTTATTGCCTACCATATTCTTAACAACCTGTGAAAAAGTTAGAGTGGGCCATTCATAAGTTTTGAAGAAAATGGCACATAGGTATGCAAACGTATGTTAGCACGCGCAGTGGAGGGGGAAGAGCGAATTTCGCCCCACCCCTCCTGTTTTTCGCCAATATCTCATAATATTAATGTGAAATTAATTATGGCTACCTGTCCAGAATTGAATTGTTCATCTCATCGTGCAAGCAATAAGAAAATCGGTTCACAACTTTTCTGGTAAAAGCGGTGTTAAAGGGACACTCCCACCTTAACATTAGTTTTGAGTTGAGATAGCCAAATTGGTGGCCATGGCCTGCAAATACCGGTTTGGGCACTCACAACATCGACAAATGCTTTAATTCGGAGATATGGAATTTCAAACTTGCAGTTTTCAGATTCTAAGGGGCTAGTGCATTGGTATGCCCCCTTAGAATTTGTGACGTCAGCGGAGATCTAACGATTTTTAAATCTTTTACTAAAACGTTTGGTAGCACGCGTTGGTATATGCTGCTTTGCGCGCAACAAATGCCGCACTTTCAAATAAAGTCGCTAGGAACAGCGGAGATCCCAAAAAGTAAACAAAAGTAAAAGTCTAATATCTTGAAAACCGGTGAATATTTTTCGATGAAATTTGGTAGATATTCGTTTTCGCTCTTTCTGAACCGAGCGACATCACTTTCGTGCCAATTCATTAACTTTTTTGAAGGTGGGAGGGTCCCTTTAAGTTAAACATCCTGTCGCCGCCAAGATTCTTGTCGCCGCGGCGACGCAGCGACTCGGCAGCCGGCGCCGACCGCTACGCGCCGCCTGAATTGTAGACTGTGCCGGGACGGAACGGAACGGTTCCGTCTTTACATCGCGCTCCTCATAGGCGGCGGAACAGGGAGGGCACCGGGGCACCGTGCCCCCCTTTGATTTTGGCATTTTAACATTAGCCCTATGGGCGTTGCATGGAAAGAATGGGACCAAAAGTCGGCAGGGCCCCCCTTAATTGAAGGTGTTCCGCCGCTACTGGCGCTCCTTACCGCTGATTATGTTCAATTCGTGTCAAATTTTGTGAGAAGACTTAAGAAATGTACAGGCAATGTTATGGTGAAAGAATTTTGAAAATCGGTTGGTAAACAATTGAAATATGAACGTGTAAACACAAAATTGTGATTGCTGCGTTTCCCGCGTCGGCCGATCCCGCCTCAGCCGGCGACATGTTAATCTTAGCAGGCTTCTAGCTGCCATATTTATTATTGGATTAACTAGAAATTTCCCATACATACTCAAAAATGTATGTTCTTTCGTATAGTGAAGGCAAAAAGACGTGAAGATATCCTTGCGTGATAATGTTTTCGTTGAATTTACTTCATGATGCATTTCCACACGGCTTAAAATTCACCGCAAAGTACCGTTTGCCTGAGACACTTTTACTATGGAACGTGAACGTTTGACTACGGTCTACGATGACTGTGCATTTCCATTCTCGCAGAGTTTGGGATATCACTAATCAGCAATCATTCATTTCAGAAAGTGTACACAAGCAAGCATGTCTTGACTCTCACAGAGAGTAGAGAGTAATTAGTTCTGCTCATCGTCGTAATGCAAGTCTTTTCCGTAAGTTCGTACTTACTCACTGTGACTTCAGTGCACCATTCTGTCGTCAGTGTTTAAAGGGACCCTCCCACCATAGGCGCGGGAGCCGGGGGGGCAGTGGGGGCAGCTTGCCCCCCCCCCCCAACTCTGGAGCCGTGGGGGCGGTGCCCCCACAGCTTTGAGACGGAATACCACACTTTTTTGCAAATGTTTTCTTTTTTTGTTGAAAAAGCCGAGGGGTGAAAAATAAGTGGCCTAAAACCGGTGAGAAAACTAGATTTGGGGGTACCCTAGGTTGATCTCTATTATGGTGTGCCCCCCCAGTCGGAAAGTAGTTCCCGCGCCCCTGCCTCCCACCTTCAAAAAAGTTTATGAATTGGCATGAAAGTGATGTCCCTTGGTTCAGAAAGAGCGAAAACGAATATCTACCAAATTTCACCGAAAAATATTCACTGGTTTTCAAGATATTAGGCTTTTACTTTTGTTTACTTTTTGGGATCTCCCCTGTTACTAGCGACTTTATTTGGAAGCAATAATTTGGCAGCCTTAAAGTGCGGCAGACGTTGCGCGCAAAGCAGCTTATACCACCACGTGTTAACGATGGTTTTAGTCTAAGATTTAAAAATCGTTAGATCTCCGCTGACGTCACAAATTCTAAGGGGGCATTCCAATGCATTAGCCCCTTAGAATCCGAAAACTGCGAGTTTGAAATTCCATCTTCGAATTAAAGCATTTTTCGATGTTGTGAGTTGTCGGAAGTACTTACCGTCATAAAGTTGTTTTGCAATTGGAAAGTTTTCCCTTCACGCGCTACGTATGCGCTGCCATTTTTATTTGGTAACATTGTTCGGGTGGGAGGTGGCGCGCCAGTCGAATACAGTGCACCGTGAGAGCTCCGCCTGTTTGTACCGTTTGTACGGGAAGCCGACCGAGAAGAGAGACTGAAACTGATCGCCGTTTTGCTTATATATTTTAATTGTAAATCCAACATAGGTCCTCCGGGCCGGATGGACTGATATTTTTCAGTTCCATCTTGCTTGATTTTTGTTTTGCTTTACTTACCGTCAAGATCGTTTAGTGAATTGTGAATGTGATATCAAGATGGCAGAGCAAGATGAAAAGGCCAGATCAAGATGTAGAGGTAAGCTCACCAGATTGATTAATGATTTGAAGGAGTATCGCCTGTCACAAAATGTTGATGAAGATGAGCTGGCCTATAAGATTCACTTGCTTGACAAGAAGCTGAATGAGTTGAGACAGATTCAAACTGCTCTTGATAAGGTGGGCTTGCAGGATGACAGTGCTCATGACGAACTGGCTTCTGAGGAGTTGTTTAAGGCATCTAGGGTGCTCAGCCGTCTGGAGTCTGCATCTGCTGCCTCAGCCTCCCGTGCTGATCCGGTGAGGGTGTTTGATGATCAGCAGCAGCTGGACCTGAAGTCCTCCCTGGTTGTGAAGCTGCCTACTTTCGATGGTGACCTTATGAATTGGATGGAGTTCTGGGAGCTCTACAATGTGTCCGTGCATCAAAACCCCAGGTATGCTAATGTACAAAGATTTGTGTTGTTAAAATCCCACCTGGGCTCAGCGCCAAGGCAGACTATTGAGGGGATACCAGTCTCTGAGGAGGGTTACCGTGTGGCGATTGATGTTCTGACCAAACGGTATGCTAGAGAGGATGTCCGCCGTGAGTGTCTGCTTGGTCAGTTGCTGGATCTGCCATCTGTATCAGACCCTCATGACCTGACGGCCCTTCATCGCCTCATCGATTCGCTGACTGCTCGTGTGAGGGGTTTGGAGTCCCTTGGAGTGTCCTCAGACAGTTTCAGCAGCCTCCTGCTACCTGTCTTGAAGAAGAAGCTGCCGGAGGCCTGGCGCCTTGAGTGGGCGCGGCAATCGGCGGATGACTTCGGCACCTTTCTGGAGTTTCTACAGCAAGAAATGCTGGTGAGAGAACGAGCTGCCGGCTCTGCTCGATCCGCAGCGGCTGTCACCTCCAGGGCGGCTACTGGCTGCTCAACGGTGAGTGGTTTGGTGACCCACCGAGAGGTTCGTGATGCTGTTCGTCACCAAGGGAGGCCTGCTAACCATCAGACACGTGACAGGAGAGATTGGCAATGTGTGGCCTGTGGCGGTGCACGGCATGGGCTTTCTGCATGCGCTGTGTACCGTAACTGTGATGTTGGAGCCAGATGGGACATCGTGAAGACTGCAGGCCTGTGCTTCCGTTGTCTGGGGCCCCACTTTGCTCGCGATTGTTCGTCCGGAAACTGCCTGTCATGCGGGGGGCCTCACCACACGAGTCTCCACAGCACCAGCGAGCCGAGACCTCCGCTCGGAACGAGTGGAGCTGATCGGCAGCAGCCTTCACAGCGCACTGACAGACGCTGCCAGCCATCATCTGCGTACAGTAAGGAGAGGGCTCGGCCAGCCAGCTTCCAGCCACCGTTGCCAGTGGGTCAGCAGTCCCACCGTCCAGGTTGGTCTCCTGCTGTTCCCTGCCAGAACATGAATGTTGCCGCTGCAGTGGATGTCTTGCCGCCAGCTGCATCTCAGTTAGTTGTGTCACCACCTGTTGCCTCGCCGCCGCCAGTCGTAACACCGTCGTGCACTGCTGCCAGTGTTAACACCGCATGTGCTCTGCCTGATGCTGATGTGAAGATGCCGCCACCCGTCTCTGACCACTATTCACCCAGTGATCTGCCCTGCTCGGAACCTGATTCGAGTGCTAATCCTGCCGCCAGCGACGGAATCTGCTACATGCAGACTGCACTGGTAGAGGCGACGGGACCCCGCGGCACTTGCCAGCTGCGCGTGCTTCTGGACGGCGGCTCCGATTCGTCCTACGTGAGAACGTCCGCGGCGGAGCTGCTCGGTCTCCCCACGGTGGGGAGTGGAACATTTGCCTGCCTGGGTTTCCAGGAACGGCTGGAGGAGCCGAGACAGTATGACAAGGTGAGGTTGTCACTGCAAAGTCGGCATGGTGGGGAGGCTCACGTGTTTGACCTCTGGAAGACCGATCGTCTGTGTTCCCAGCTGACCTCTACCCGAGCGCCTGCGGTCGTATTCGAACCACACCTGCTGCTCGCTGATGATTTTGGGGGTGGGCCAGTTGATGTGTTGATCGGTGCCGACCTCATGTACCGAGTTGTGCTATGGGAACAAGTGCGACTGACTGAGCATCTCAGGGCCCTGGAGACGGTGTTCGGCTACGTGCTGCACGGCCGAGACGACGTGCCGGTCTGCCAGCCGATGAAGTACGCGCTCCGCTGCAGCCGCCTTCAGACGCAGGACTTCAGGCCGGAACAGCTCTGGAGTCTGGAAACGCTCGGCATCACCGCGGAGGAGGAGAAAGCAGGACCATCGGCGATACCGAGATGGAGTGATGCAGACCAAAGGTACGAGATGAATCTTCTGTGGAAGTCAGGTGACCGTCCTGTATCCAATCTCAGCTCGACGGCGGCGCGGACCAGGCGCATGGAGAGTCGACTGACGTCATCTGAGCGAGAGGAGTACGACCGACACCTGGCGGAACTTCAGCGAACCGGCGTCGTAGAAGTGTCACCAGTCGAAGAAATGGATGGCTTCTACCTACCACACAGAGGTATCTGGCGAAACGGGAAACTGAGGGTCGTGTATGACGGTTCCGCCACGGACGCTACTGGTCGCAGCCTAAACGATTACCTGGACGCTGGAGGCAACCTGCTGCGGCGCCTACCAGCGGTGCTGCTGAATTTCAGGCGGGACCTGGTTGCAGCCCAGGCAGACATCCGAGCCGCGTTTCATCAGGTGTCTGTCGCCAGAGATGATCGCAAGTTTCTGCAGTTTCTCTGGGAGGATAGATGTCTACGTTTCAGACGCGTCCCGTTCGGGATAACCTGCTCACCCTATATGCTGCTGCAAACAATATCCACCCACCTTGGTCTGTACAGTGCCACCGATCCATCACTCTGTAGGAAACTGGAAGCTGGATTGTACATGGACGACGTATGCGTCTCCTTCCACAGCAGAGGCGAGGCTGAGTCAAGTATGAAGAGGACTGAGAAGATATTCTCTGATGCCGGAATGGAGCTGCATAAGCTGCACATCACTGGAGACGACACTGGAGCGGAGGCCCACGTCCTGGGCCTGAGATGGTGTACCAGCTCTGATCGTCTCGCCGTGTGTGTACCTCCCCTGCCAGCCATAACCACAAAACGCCAACTGCTGTCGACGCTGTGCAAGCCGTATGATCCTCTGGGCGTGCTCTCACCTTGGCTCGTTACCGGCCGAGCTCTGTTTCAGAGGACCTGCACGGGAGAGTCTCCTGACTGGGACGAGGAGATGAAGTCTGACATCAAGAAGGAGCTAGCCATTTGGTGCAGGGGAGCGTCGGACCGCGCTGTGTGGTTTCCTCGCACCGTTCGGATAGCGGATGACGTGACCTATCACGTGTTTTGTGACGCATCGAAGGTCGCGTACTGCAGCGCCATCTATGTCGCTTGTGATGGAGGTGTCAGGCTGTTGATCGCCAAATCCCGTCTTGCACCCGCTGCCTCCTCCCTCAGCGTTCCGCGACTGGAACTGATGGCGGCGCTCATCGGCTGTCGTCTGATGGACTTCGTGATTCGATCACTGGACCTCAGCAACCCACGAGTCGTGTACTGGACGGACGCGATGGACGTCCTCTACTGGCTGGATCAGCGCCGGGCATTGAAGGTGTTCGTCCGGAACCGGGTGACTTCAATTCTCCAGCTTACCAGCCGAGACAACTGGCGGTACGTCCGAGGGCAGGACAACCCGGCAGATCTAGGTACGCGAGGCATGTCCCTGTCAGACCTGACAGCGTGTGATGTCTGGTGGCGTGGGCCCGCTTTCCTCAGGTCCGCCTCTGCTGGACCGCAGCCGGCACTGGCAGCTGTGGGTGCTGATCTGCTGCTGTCTACCGAGGCGGCCGTCGAGCTGAAACCGGAAGAAGTTCAGACGAGGGTGCGGTTGATCGCAAGTCAAGGTGAGAAAGTGCCGTTCGACGTGACTGCCTGCTCTCACCTCTCCCAGGCCGTGGACAGACTGGCGTGGATGCGCCGCTTCATCTCCAACTGCCGCCTGCCGAGGACAGAGCGGATGACCGGACCGCTCACTCCAGAGGAGAGGATGGTGAGTTTAAGATATTGGATTCGAGCCGCGCAGCATGGTGCATATCAAAGAGAAATGCAAACTGTTCGCACTGACCAGCTGCTTCCGCCAGGGTCGCCCCTTGACAAGCTCCGTCCGCAGCTCGCTGACGATGGACTGCTGGAGGCGACTCTCCGGACTGGAGAGCGACCGGTGCCCATCTTGCCTGATCTCTCTCACATCACGACGTTGATTGTCGAGGAAGCGCACCGACGGTGTTTTCATCAAGGGACGCGCGTCACTCTGGCTCTTCTCTCAGCTGAGTATGCGGTGAGAAGACGGACGGTTCGCCGCGCTGTAGACACTTGTCGCCGATGTCGACGATACCGTTCTTTGCCCTACAGATCGCCAGAGGGTGTTCTGCCGAGTTTTCGGACACAACCGTCTCGCCCCTTCGCCAAAGTCGGAGTTGATTACTTCGGCCCGCTGTACGTCAACAACAGCGCCACCAAGGTATGGGTGTTGTTGATTACTTGTGCCACATCTCGAGCCTTGCACCTCGAACTTGTTCGATCCCAGACGACTGCTGATCTAGTCCTGGCGCTGAGGAAGTTCTTCGCGCTACGAGGAACTCCGACTCTCGTGTACAGTGACAACGCAAGGACGTTCCATGCGCTGTTAGGGCATCTTCCGAGGTGTGTCAGATGGCGCTTCATCCCAGAGGCCGCTCCTTGGTGGGGCGGGTTCTGGGAGAGGTTGGTGGGTGTGACCAAAGCTGCTCTACGGTCTACTTTGCATCTATGCCATCTGAGCTATGAAGAATTGTCCGTTACGTTATATGAGCTTGCCTTTTTTGTTAACCTACGCCCTCTTACTCAGGGTGATGGTGAAGAGCTTCTCACCCCTGCCCATTTGTTGTTTGGTGTGACATCTATCGACGGTGTGTTGTGTCCAACCCTGAACGAATGTCCGGTCAACAGGGCGTGGAAGCATCGAAAGAGGGTGTGTGACCACCTGACCCGGCGCTGGAGCACAGAGTACCTCCGCGCTCTTCGCTGTTGGAGCAAGTCGCCACGGGGGAGGCCCGACCGCACGCCCGGAGTTGGTGACGTCATCCTCGTGCAGAACGAGGGACCGCGCGGCCGGTGGCCGCTGGCGCGCGTGATGCAGCTGCTTCACGGTCCTGACGGCCAAGCGCGTGCTGCTACTGTCCGTGTGCGCGGGCGTCCCACGCGCCGCCCTCTCAGCCGGCTCTATCAGTTGGAAGCATCCGAGTGATACCTAACGTGAGGTGTTCTATGTCACTGCGGAACGTCGCTTGTTTGTTTGTTTTGTGATGTAAGCTGCTGTGTGTTACCGGGCCACCGTGATGTCTAGATATTCGTATTCAAGTCGGTTATTGCGAAATCTTGTGAGATTTCGGGTGGGGAGTGTATGTCGGAAGTACTTACCGTCATAAAGTTGTTTTGCAATTGGAAAGTTTTCCCTTCACGCGCTACGTATGCGCTGCCATTTTTATTTGGTAACATTGTTCGGGTGGGAGGTGGCGCGCCAGTCGAATACAGTGCACCGTGAGAGCTCCGCCTGTTTGTACCGTTTGTACGGGAAGCCGACCGAGAAGAGAGACTGAAACTGATCGCCGTTTTGCTTATATATTTTAATTGTAAATCCAACATGAGTGCCCAAACCGGTATTTGCAGGCCATGGCCACCAATTTGGCTATCTCAACTCAAAACTAATGTTAAGGTGGGAGTGTCCCTTTAAGGGATAAGGAATCAGGTTCGATGATATAATTCAAGCTGAAATTTATGTCATCTATGCTTTGTAGCCTTCACAATGAATTGGAAGGGCCAGGCACTCGGCAGTTTCGCCCCACACAGGGATTTTTCACACACCAACACGGACTGTCTTTCAAGGTCACGCGCGGTTGCGTGATGTGGATGCATGAAAACGGCGTTTGACGCGAAAGTTATGAATGGCCCACTCCAATTTTTTTTTCACAGATGGTTAGGAACATTGTGATGGACATAATATGTAACAATTAGCCAAATCGAAGGTGGCGTGTTTTTTGCTATTTAAATTTCACTGTTTTAATTCAAGGTCAAATGCATTTCAAGGTCACTTCAATTCAATTTTATAATTAAGAATCAAAGCCTTATCAATTGCCTACAAGACCCTGTTAACCCGCGCCGGGCAGGTGCTCTGAGATTCCGCGCCGGGCCGGGGGGGGTGTCTGAACACCCCCCCCCCCGTCTAACTCGGCTCCTGGGCCACGTAGCGAAACGCGGTAAGCGGCAATCGAAAGAACGTCTAAAATAAGGACGAAAACACTTCAGTCATTTTTTGGGTCAGGTCAGGTCAGGTCACCAGAGGTCACCAAAGGTAAAATGTTGACTATTTCAACATTTTGGAAACTGCCAACGGCTATCTCGGGAACCGACAGAGCTACAGCGCCGCGGAAAAGCGCATTCGATAGCCCTTTTACAGACCTTTCTGAATAATATTCTCAGATTTGACCTCAGGTCAACGGTTTAGCCTCCAGAGGGCAAAAACTCCAAAAATAGCCGTTTTTACGAAAAGCGGTTTTTTGGCAATAACTTTTGACTCAAAAGAGCCATGACATTACTTTTGCCAGCATCGTGTTCCTCTTGTCGAGACGCGTCGAATTAACTATAATTTGACCTTGAAAGGTCAACTTGAAAATTTGACCTCAGGTCAAGGTCATGAACTGACCGGAAAAGGTCATGTTGCGTATTAGTCGATCCGCAACGTCGAGCCGAACACATCTAAGGCGTTTTCAGCGCTCTATAGCACGCCTCTATCAGAAGTTATTAGCGAAAAACTGATAGATTCTGTTCGTGACCTGAGATGACCTCGGGGACATAACGAGGGGTCACAGTTGCCATTTTCCGGTTCAGTGTGTCAATGGTACCTATATCTCGATGTTTGAGAGTGTCTAGAATAGCGTTCGTGCAAAACAGACGCTTTTCAATTTTCTCCCATTGGCTTATAATGGAGAAGCCGCAAAATTGACCTGACCTTAGGTCACAGATATCGAAATTCCGAGATGAACATTTTATAGATATAGTTGCTCTTATCAATCGCTGAAAGTTTCAAGGCAATCGATCAATCGGTGTAGCTATGACGAGCATTCCTATTTTTTCTGAGGTGAGGTCAGGCGTGACCTGGTGACCTGACCTAAGGCGACCTGGGTCTGAAATTTTCACAACATGTGCGGAAAAGATGCACGAACAGGTGTGCCAAAAACGGCGGCGCTCCGCGCCGCCGTTTTTGAGATATCTGCGAAAAACCGCAGAGGGGGGGTGTTCAAACACCCCCCCCCCCGGCCCGGCGCGGGTTAATATCATTTTGACACCAGAAAAGGAACCAGATTTAGGTATAGATATTTAAAAAATTCATTATCAAATTTCGAAAATATTATACGTAACTCAGTTTTGAACCAATCCCAGCCTGCCTACAAATTTTTAGAAAAATCGAAGGGGATGACGGATTTCGGTGTTTGATTTGACGTGGAATGCCCCACCTGTCAGGATGTCAAGCGCCCGTCGCGCTTCGAACCCGGACTGTTGTAACCGGGAACGCGTGCTTTCACCACGCGGAGTCCAACGCTCTACCAACTGAGCTACGGGACCCTTGACCTGACCTTGACCTGGCCTCTGACCTACTTGAGCAAAAAAAAAAAGCTCTTAAGATCCGCCTTGTTGAGAGCTTTCGATTACCGTTTTCCCCATCTTTCTACGACCATCGGTTCGGACGTTAGACGGGGGGGGGGGGCAGAATCTGCCCCCTCCCCCCAGCAGAGCGCGTATGGCTGAATAGCCCAGCGGGGTGCGGGTTAACCCTATTAGTGGCAGGCTCCTGGCTACCCCATATTAGTGGCAGGGGGGGCTGTTTACGACCCCCCCTTGATATCTCGAGATCTAACCGGCCGATTTTCAAAATTCAAACGGCATTCGATTTGGCTCAACGAGATCTACATTTCTAAAAAAAAATAAAATTAAAAAATATCAATAGGGGGGTAGAGGGGGGTAAAAACGGGCAAATTGCAGATACATTTTAGACTGTTTATCACGGCCAGGTTTCTGAACCAATCTTAACGCAACTTTTGCCGATCGATAGAGAATGAACCAGGAATTCACATGGATCCTAAAAATATGCATTTTCAAAAATCATAGGCGGATACAGATCATTGAGATTGGGGGTACACAAAAAGTATAGTAAATAAGGTTTTTGTTGGTACTGTTTCTAAAAAGGGTGGCAATGGTCTTGTTATGTTACAATTTTCTTATGAGAGAACGACTAAAATTGTATTGGTCATGCATAGGCGGTGTCAGGGCACCTATGTTGGGAGGTAAAAAATAACCCCCCTTTTTGGACGCCTGGATCCGCCTATTATAGCAAAAACGTGTCAAAAGAGGATGCACAATAACTTTGTATATGTTATCACATGATACCTTTCATTCACTGTTCGTAAAACTGGTGCAGCATCGTGATCTTCGCCCAAATGACTCGCTTCACGAATAGGACCCCCAATTCCCAGTGCTCTGGAGCCGCCCCTGGTAAAGTTATGAACTTGAAATTTTCAGGGAATGTGTCCAATTTAGTTTTAGGAAAAGTCAGAAAATTTCAGCATCGTAGCTTCAGCGGTTTCGGAGATATACCCGAAAAACCTGAGGGGTGGATAAAAACAACCCCCCCCCCCCCTGCCACTAATAGGGTTAAGGACTCAGCCGGCACTGCGGCCGTTCTCCGTTGATTGCGATTGGTGGCTCCCAATCTCGAGTCTCGCACAGCAGGGTGTTGTTTCCGCGTGTTCATCTGGTTGGCCTGATTTCATTGTTGAAAAAATACATCCGCTTGGTGTATTTAAATACACTTTCCTAACTTGGAATCGCAACATCTCGTGCAATGTGCATCGCTTGACCAGCAACGACCAGCAACGGGTAAAGGAGGGAGCTACTAAAAAAAGATACCATAACCCGCGCCAGACCGGTGCTCGGAGCCACCCGCTGCGGGTCGGGCGTGGGCAGGGAGAACAGGGTGGGAATTTCTAAAAAGTGGGCACCGTCGTCCAACTCAGCTCTGGGCCACGTATCGACACGCGGTAACCACCATTTGAAAAAGTAAAAACCAATCATGAAGAAGTAATTTTGGTTAATTTTTAATCATGTCAAAGATCAGGCCACCAAAGGTTATCGAAGGTCAAATGTTGTATGTTTAAACAACTTTTGAAGAATCGACAAAATAACTGGGAACGAACAGACCTAGAGGAATGTGGGGTAAGACGGCCACCTTTACTTTAGAGCAGTTTTTAAATGCTTTAAAATTATTACATGGGGCTATCTTAGTAGGTAGGTATTAACTGCGCTGCGGAAGAGCGCATTCAATTGCTCATTTAAAACCGTTTTTGAAAACATGTTTTCATAGCTGACCAAAGGTCAACGGTGTAGCTTCCAGAGGCCAAAGCAATAAAAAATAATGCTTTTGCGGAAAATGTTGTATGCAATAACTTTTGACGACATTTAAATTACCGGCAATGTGTGTCTCTCATCAAGGTGCGTCACTCTATCAAAAGTTACTGTAAAAATACCTTATAGGTGTTCGTAAGGAATAAATAACCCTGGTCCAGCGTTGGCCGTTGGGTCCGTCCATCCAAATTTGCTCTGCACGCTTCGTTTCTAAACATGTCGTCTTGGATCGTGGACAAGCAGAGTATGTAGGTACCTACATAACTGTATAGGTGTACGGGAGCCATTTGATCGGCCACGCACCCTATCGTCATTTCTAGTTCTACCGACGTGCACCGCACTTGTGCAAATTTCGTCTCGGATCGCACATGTTACGTCTATCTGAACACGTGCTCTCTATCGGCGGATCGCCAAACGCAACAACCGCAGACGGCAGCATCATATGCGGCTCGGAAAGTTCAGTTTAAACGAGCGTGGCACTGTTTAACCAGGTGATGCTACACCCCTCGCCAGCACCTCTTCATGGTGTTTTGCCAGCCGCTAGCGGTGGGGGATGCGGGGGGGGGGAGTTGGACCCCCTCCCCTATAACCAATTGGCCCCTGAAGTTTCTTGTTGAGTTGTTTGTTTGAGTTGAGTTTGAGTTAGTGAGTTGTTGTTGTTGTTGTTTGTTAGAGTTTGTTGAAAAAACTAGCATGTTGCGTGACGAGAGGAAGTCGATGATTACGAGCGAGCGAGCACAGCGAGCGAAGCGAAGTCTTTCCAATATAACGGAATATACATTCTTGGACGATACCGCGAAAACGAAATATTACTATCGAGAGTTTTCAAAGGATTTCATGCACGAGGCCTTGGCCGAGTGCATGAAATTCTTTGAAAACTCGAGATAGAAATATTTCGTCGCGGTAGAGTCCTAGATATTATTTCCTGTATGTTTCTTAATATCGCTCGTTATCTGCTTAAAAAAGGCCGAAATATGCATAAATAAAATACAGTAACATTAACTACACGTTAGGTACTGAAATACTGGCAGTTCTAATTACTGAACAGTGCAGCAAAGCTTACAAATTTTCTTTAAAACAGAAGCCCTCGATGAAATCAAGCTATCCAAGAAAACCATCCAAGAAAACGTCTCGCGCAAAGTTTCTTGGATGGCTGGATTGCATTGCAAGACTGCATCA